GTATTAGTGTATCGTTTAACAGGGAGGATGTTTATCAGACAAAAATTCATCCCCACTCCCCTAGGTACTGCCGCTGTCCGTTCGCGACGGTTTACTCAATGAGTTTGGGTCCGCCTTTTTTATGACCAACTAATAAATTGGTTAACTATCGGCGATCTGAAGATGTGTCAGTCATCCGACCTATGCACATACTGCATATCGTTATTCAAGCGAGAAACACAACCGTTTTGCGGACACAAGATGCGACGTATCAATAGTCAGGTGATAACCCGACCAAACCATGTCATCGATACACATATACATTCGTGAACAAAAATGGTCACAAAACTTGAAATGAAGAACTACTCGTCACAGATACACTTTATGTTCAACGACCAATTCCCAGCAGCAGCAAACACCGGAAACCTACAATAAATACAGACTGTACACAAATGCACGCATATACACAGACTGCAAACGTCAGAAGAAGCGAGTAGTGTATGACACTGTCTGACCCACGAAAGTAACCGGGACTGTTAAGTGAATCCGAGTCAACCCAGGGACAATGTAGTCGGCACAGGAAATAAAGAGAAGACACATGGTATCCAAATATCGAAATGTACAAGTTATACTCTTCCTCTAACTATGTAACTCTGTTTGGAAATTACCAATTTGAACACCGTACATAGGCAGACAGCCACGTTGATGGACGTCAAACTGATAACAAACCGTGTTGTAGTGGTGACCCATTTCGACTGGCGCAGAGAACAGAAAATAAAAAGAATTATAAGGCTTATGCGCGGCCGACAGACAAGTTCGGATGTTGCACTTTTCGACGACGCATGTAGCGCAGGAAATCCACCGCCTCTTTGTAGTCCGGATGTGTTTGACTGATCTTGAATGTCGGGTCGATGAGAAATTGATCGAACCTATCGTCCTCAGTGCTTCTTGGGGCAGAGTGAGCTGTCTCATTCCCAGCATGGACAACCGTAGGATCAGCACGGTGAGCATCGTCAACATCATTATCATTATCATCCAGTTTCCACTATGAACGGAGAGAGAACAACAAATAAGCATTGGAGGTCATAGAATGATAGAAAGCCAGAGTGAATGTGATTTTGAAATGTTCGTAATAGAGCAAATGACAATAAAAGGAGAAGGATGAGGAAATCACGCAAGCATGTGATAACACATCATCAATTAGAAATACCATCTAGTGCCAACACACAGAGAGACAAACATTGAGTGGCGTTGAGCTTCGGGATATCACCACAATGCGCCCCTTATCACAAATATGTTTGGAATAGTTAGTGAAGAGAAAAGGCCACAAATACGTTCACATTTGAACAACCGGGGAAGATGAGTCGATCAGGTGGAAGCAGGACGATGATTGAAGTCATATTTTTTCAAAGATGAAGGTTAGTATACCTTCTCGCTTGAGGTTGGTGGCAGAAAACGATTAGATCTCATTGAATATCACTTTTTCACACTTGTGCAGTTTCTGGAGTGGTCAATTCCAAGGTCGAATTTACCCAATTACCGCCCAGCAGTAAGGAGTTGAATGTGATCGAGAAACAGAAATGTGTTAGAAACAGGGATAAGTTAACTGTCTCGATCAGGATCGTCACTGGTTAGAGTGAGCCATGTATTCGAGTAAAGTGGCAAATGCTGTTGTGCAGTCAACTTGGTGGACTCCAAGAAAAAATGACCGCCTCTCATGCTTAGAAAGGAAGAGGGGCAAACAAAACATGGATGAGATGCATGTACAATACCTGTATCAACTCTGTGGGTCATTTAGATAAATAAATTTCATTTGTGCTTTTTACTATGGCTTTGATATTTTACAACCAGTAACCGTCGTCAAAAACGACAAATCGTACGATTTAATAACTTGTGGCCAATATGTTGCATCTGATGCGGAGCAATATTAAATCCTTCGAATGAGGCTCGAAACATTAAGCGCTGGAAGGAACAAATATGATGAGCCAGGGTGTTGCACGAGTTTGGTCTATGTATATATATCAATGCAACTTCCTGGAGGTAGCTTAGACGCTTCAATGTTGAAAAAGACCAGGAAGAGATCAAGAAATTCGCAATCTACTCACGTTCGGATCAATTTCGATCAAGCAAAATGTTGATGACCTGTCTGTTTTGGATTACATCTGGTAGAAAAACATCGCACGCCATAAGGGAGCCAAAAATTAGGATTCCCGTGAGTAGTGAAATGGAACGGGCAGGGAGTTAGATGACCATTCACAAACCAGAAAGTGGGCGGAAAATAACGCGTTGACT